CCGGCCAGCACCAGGCCCGAGGGGCCTTGTGAGGTGCAGAGACCTGCGGGAACAGTACGGGCTTCTGCAAGCCCTTGCCCACAGGAATAGCCGCACTCAGGGGGCAGTTCTTCCTTTCCTCACTTTTAGTTTGAAAAGAGCGTTTTTCTGAAGTCACAAGGATTATACCATGCTGACCTTGCCTCCCTGGGTTTCTTGGAGGGCTCCCTGGAAGCCCTGGGTAACGTGTAGGTATCAGGCATAGAGCCGGGCATGGGTCCCCGAGCAGAGCTGTGGAGATAGGATTTCTTCTCCCAACCTACAGCTCTTCAGAAAGAGATTATGGGAGGCTGTGGGATCCTGGGGTAGAAGCCAAACCCCGATGTGCCTCCAATTTTCACAGATGGTTTTTCTCTCCGCTTTCACAGGCCAGACCAAAACCTCAGCTCTGGATATTCTAGCTCTCGAGCATTTGAAATCTGGAGCCGACGTTGGCTCTGGGTGGTGCAGTTTTGTCCCTTTGAGTCACAAGACTGTGCGGGATTGGCAAAAGAGTGAGGTGGAAAAAGCCTGCACATTGTTTCACAAAAATTCAGCTACGCTAAGTCAGGAAACCATCGTCTTCAAGAAGGACAGCCTTGCACATTCCTCCTTACACATCTGTAACCGTTTGAACACCCATTAAACATAATGTAAGATTGAAACAGATGCTGATTATACTCGTCAGGACAATAAAAATTCAAGACACTTGAATTAGTGATGAGTTCTGTGTAAGAGGTGATGTGAAAACTGGCACAGAATCCCTGCCACCTGAGGGAGTATTGCTGGCATCTGTTGGGTAGTAGTCACCACTCAATTACTGTTGCACTTTGAATGGATGCTGTGACTGTTCCTGTAATCTTTTCAGAGACTTTTAGTACTTTAAGTAAGCTACTTTTTAGTACTAAGTACTTCAGTACTTAGATGAAGGGACAGTAATGTCAATAAAGAGGATCTACTTATACATTTCTACATTTTCATTGTGGTGTAGGGGGAAGGACTATTTTTGAAATGGATATCTTTGGCCATGTAAAAGTAGCTATGCATGAGCATGGTATTCTCCAAATAGGGACTGACTTTAAGTGTCAACCAGAATGCTATAGCAGCTCCATCAGCAGAAGCCATTTAAGCCAAACTAGCTTTATTCCCTTAGAGGCCAAGATCTGGACATGGCAATGATTGGGAACAGCAAGCTCCAGTGTCAACTCCGAGGACCCTGGGAGGTGGGTGAGGCTGATTGCTTCCTGCTCAGATACAGCAGAAAGAAAAGCAAGAAACCTATAGCAAGCTCCCCGAGGTTAATTGAGCAGTGTAACTGAGTTTCAATGGGCTTTGGATTGGCCTGCCACTTCTCATTGCTGGTGCCAGCCATAAATACACTACAGCTGCCTCTCCAAAGAAATAAAAATGTAGCTCATAACCCTGTGTTTAGACAGGTTAATGTGGATGGAGAATATTGTTCACATCAGAATTTTCTAGAGATCAAAATGTTTTATGCCATCAAAACAAACCAGAAAACAAATTTAAAAGCCATTAAAATTATTTTGCTGAAAATGTGGCTATGGTTAAGAAGTGGCATCTTCTTCAACACATCTGCTTTGTGTATAATTGTGTTCAGAGTTAGATTTGCTGAACTGTCTGAAAAGACATTTTATTCCTGTAAGCAGTGAAAAAACTGACACAGGTTAATGAGAAGGAAACAGATCCTCCTTGAGCTCATTCAGGTAAATGGAAGGTGTATCCATTCCAGTGAGGATAGCAGGTTTGCGCAGATGCTATGGAGACCGTCATGAACATGGAAGTTTCAACTTTTTAATCTCATTGGAGCCTGTGGAGCTGGCTGTGGATGTTAGGAGGGAACTGATGTGGAAATCACAAATAGACAATAAATACAGAATCCCACACTGCCATTTTCAGTGTCACTTTTCAGAGAAAAAATGCGCTTTAACAAGGTTTAAACTGCAGTTTGAATGTTTTCACAAGTGCTTTACAGCGTTGCCACTTTGCCTTTGGGAATTAGTTAAGATGTGCTTTGCAGAGCGTGGAATCATAGGACAAGGCAGTAAACCCTGTAATAAACACTTGTCCATGCTACAACCAAGCTGTTCTCAGCAGTGTTTAAAAGAACCACGTTTGTGACTGCATGCCATGACAGGGAAGGGACACAGCCTGTTAAGTTAAGTTAACTGAAAAGTTAAGTCCCTTTAATCATTCATAGTATACAAGATGTAATTGGAAAAGAAACTAAAAAAAACAATCAGGATTTCCTTTTTTACCAATAAACCTAAAGTGGTGAATATAGGCATTAAGTAGTCTGTTCCATGCTACAGGAATATGACCAGCTTGTTTTAAAATTAGTTAAAAGTGATGCAGAAACAGCTCTCTCGTTAACAAAAAGCATTCACTGCAACTTGTAACAGTACATGAAACTGGATAAAAAGGACCACTTTCATTGGGCAGACTGAAAGTTACTGATACTCCATTGCTTCCAATCTGTAATACATGCTTTTGGTAGGACATCAGCTTATTGATTCAGTAGTAGTCATATTTCCAGACAGGTATTTATCTTTCCCTGTTTTTTATCCTCACTATTTGTATTGGTGTCCTGGATGTTATGATTGTTATAAATCTATTTTCGTTCCCATGCATCATTATAATCACCAGGTCTATAAATGACTTTGCTCCTTCAGCCTGTCTGCTGTCTGCTATCTGGAAAAACTCACAAGTTCAGACCAGTGAGTTGGTGCTGGCAGGTGATTGCTGCGTAGCTGAGTCATCTCAATATATCAGCGTGATGTTTATTGAGCCCAAGCAACAAACAGTGGGAAGACTGTGGCTTCAGGCTTGGGACTCAAAGTTCACCACACATTGCTTTTAGAGAACACTCAGAGCTCTGTCATTAACAGATTTCTGTCAAACTAAGGGGAAGAGGGATCTCAAAAAGATCAATTGCCTCTGAATGCAAATATATTAGTAGCTGCAAGAAGGAAACAAGCTGGCACTCTACCGTGTTGTTACAGCAGGCCCTTGGAAATTAATCTCTCTGTTTAAATTGTAAGAGCGGATGGCCTGAACTATCCTGGGAAAACTCTGAAAATGGAGGCTTAAGGAAACCTGACAACCTACAGACAGCGTAGTGGTGCAGGTAGCAGGAAAGCGTATTTCAGGTTTTGGTGAAGTAGGTGAAAACCCCCCGCAGATATATCCCCATCCCTTTTCTTTCACATAACTCAGAAACCCTGGGGAAAAGATGTGATGCCAACATATACTGAAGGAAGATAAAAGGTATTTAGCTAATAATGTTGTCAAAAGAAGACTTATACCTAAATGGTTATCTTTGTTCTGTGTGGCTTGTTTTATCTTCTAAATGGTTTTGCCTCACTTTTTTGATTGAGATCTTGGCTCATTTTGTAACACTGAGGCAGATATGAGGTGAAAGGAAAACCTCACTTGTCAAACTGTGTATCCAGAGGAGGAAAGATGGAGCTTGTCCTATCAAAACAGAACTTGATTTGAATTATAGGATTTGAAGGTTGCAATGGAGGAACTGAAACTTTAGAGTCACAGAATGTGTATAAAGTTACTGGCCATAAACATTTAAATACAAACATCTCCTCCAACTTCAAAATTAAGAAGGCCACATATTCTTTGCTGTTTGGGCTTGTCTACCTAGGGAATTAAGTCAGCTTGTGAATCTGAAAAGTGCTTGTTCCCTATGTGGACACCCTTAGCTTGTAGATAACATGATCTTCTCTAGTCCCCTTTCAAAGTGGATTCATACCACATAACTTCTCTGGATTTGTGAACTTTTCAGATTGTGTAAGCGACTGGAACCGAGTATGATCAGACTCTTAACTTTCAGATGGCTGTAGTTGACAGTAAGCCCTGTGCTGAGTATAGGGGCCACCAAAATGCTGCACTGTATATCTGCATCTCAGCCTGCTTCACAGTCACTCTGACCTACAGGCAAACAACCTCAAGCATCAGGGATGCTGGAGGGCTGGGAACTGGGAAATTCTTTTATTCATTCCTGCCTTGGCTTTTTTCGCCTTGAATTTCTTCCTAACTTGATCTCTGTGGCATCAGGAGGTTTCTTGCAATGATTCAGGTGCTTCAAGCACTCAGAAAACTTTAAGGTATTCTGAAAAACTCAGTCATAAACCCCAACCATTTGATAAGAAGGAATTAATTGTTCCCAGAAGCAACATTTCCAGTTAACACCAGTACTCCAAAAGAGACAGCACATAC